TAGAATTGGGATAAACCTTTTCTGAGTTATTTTTGTACTTGAGAGCGTTTACAGATAGTAGAAAGGCCTCAAATTCTATTGAAATGGCCCTACTTGAATGTCCTTCTTGGAACTCAGGACCTGAGAAAAAGATTTTGTTTCCCTATTGAGAAAAAAAACAGGTTCTCTGTGTTCCTTCACGTTCAAGTCCTTAACTAATACTGCAGCCTTTCTGCAGTTGTGCATTTTGGAACAGTTTTGCTCAATAGACTGTCCGAGATCCATGGGTCAAGCTCTTTCTGTAGTTGAATTTGAGTTGATTGTTCTTTCTGTAGTTGAATTTGAGTTGATTGTTCTTTGCATCTCTATTTCTTGTAAGTGCTTCTAAGCTGGAAGCTATAGAACTGATACTTTGGGGGTAGTTCCTTTGTAATTATGTGGTCTTTATGTAATTTTCACTAATTGTCACTAATAGTCCTCATCACATGGAAGTATTTCTGTTCTTTTCGGGAGCACTTTGAGCATTTTATTCTTTTTTGTGTTGCCTTCATCCCATCACCATATGCCTTATAAATTTGTTTCGAGAGGTTTATTCTTCTCCCTTCCTTACTCAAACAGAAAGTTTAGTAGTTATTCAGTTATCCACTGATATAGGACCTAGAATGAGATTCCAGAAGTCATGATTCCTAGGTCCATTACCCAGCCACTGAACTTGGTTGGTGTAAGTATTTTGAGAGTTTGTAAAGGGTCATTGTGTTAAGAGAGTGTTATCTTCCTGAGAAAAGAAAATCATGGTTTATTTGAAAAGCAATTAAAAAATTAAGGTAATTACTGGGAAAGAGGTCGTGGTCTTCCCCATGTCTGCCAAAACCATATGCTAGAGGTAGTGACGTCTTTATTCCTGGATGGCTGATAGCACTGTGAAAGGATGAGCAGGTGGGCAAAGCTCTGGTGTAAGAGTTCAAGTTCTACTGTGTGTTTCATGGATATTATTTAATGTTGTCTTTTTTTCTTCACTTCCTTAGGGCTTCCAAGATTTCTTTTGAGTTTGGAAAAGAAATATATGTAATTCCTTGAACCTCTTTAAAAAATCTCATGGCCAGCTCCATTATAGCAAACCTCCCTTCTTAACAGAACAGTTGAGCACTGTGCAGTAGTAAAGTTGACATTAGAACCTAGACTTTCAATCTGCTAATATTCTTCTTTCTACTTACTGTATTTTTTCTTCTTTTACTGTTCTTTAGGCTATAATAGAACCCTTTCACTTCATTCCCAGTCTAGGGTACACCAGTTCTTTTTTTTTTTTTCTTTTTAATACATTGGCATAATCATCAAAACTTACACTCTGTGTAGAGATGAGGTTTCCCTGTAATATCAGTGAGCTTCTTCGGATTTAAGAATGTTGATATGTGTCTGCTTGGATGTCGGGATGGTTTGGTGAGAGTTCCTCCTTGAATGAGAGTTAAGAGTATAAGTGGTAAAATAGACAGTAAACAGCTTTCAAGTGATCTGTTACACAACTCCAAGGGGTGCCATTTGCATGTATTCTGGCAAGACTCTTACCTTCTTTGCTCTCCATTTGATCTCATTTTAGGGATACAGAGATTTACGTCAGACTTATCAGAATAGCAGTATAGCATTTCTCAGGTGTCGTTTTGCAGACAAATATTGCTTCTAGTTCACCAAGCAGTACTTTCCATGTACCCCAATTTGGGGTTGACATTTACTAGAAGCTCACAAAGCATATTTATCATTTTATCCTAGAACCAGCTATGATTCTGATCTTCAGTTTTGTTCTCTATAAGAACCAAAGCAGAGTGAGAGATTGAGTATCTGTGGAAGTGGCCTTTCACCCGCTCTGGACAGTCTGGCCCTTTTACTCAGATTCCATCATTCTAAGATCAGTTATCTTGTAGCCAGGAGAGATTTCACAGGATGTGGACAGAGAATATCATCTTTAACTGCATTTTGCTGTCATCAGAATTTCATTTTTGAAAACATTAGTGAGAGTTACCTGAAAAATGTATAGTCTGTTCCTGGAAATATTCTAAATTTTAATTCTTGAATCAAGACACAGTGTCAGAAAGTATGTACTTCAGTATATGGTTTTGATCTCTTGTAGAATCCCTTTCTCTAACTTGCTCTGCTATTTACTGTTTGCCTCCAATTTCCTCATTCGAAAAATGGAGATTACAATACCTTACTTCATAGAATTGTTGTGGGTATTAAATGATGTGATAGGTGTAAAGTGCTTAGAACAGCACCTTGAACACTATAACCACTTAATAGACATTAATGGTGATGGTGGTGGTGATATTGTCCACCACATCACTTTGTATGCCCCTTTTATAGGAACCTACAGGTAATATTTCCCTCAGACACTTCTTCACCTGAACCATTTGTGGGACGATATGGATAGATACAATCTTTTTTTGTGAGGGAGGGGCCCTGTCACAGGAATCCTATCTGAGGACATTCTTATTTTCAGGCTCTCAGTTCCTCCTAAATTTTCACATCCGTAATGTGTTTACTTCCTTGACTCTTTGGGAGGAAATT